TTTTAATCCAAGGAAGAGATTTGCCCGTAATTTAGAAAATCAAATGAATAGAGCAGCGTTTCCAAGATGGGGTTCCGTGAAGTGAAACCAAGGGTTCCGCCAGAAAAAAATAAGAAGATAAAAATTAATTTCATCACGTAAAAAAATTACGCAGTCTTAAATAATTTTTGTCAAATATTATGTCAAAATACTACTGAGGTTCCCGCAAAGTTTTAAATTTTATGAAAGGGTTCCATGGCTAAAATAAATTGGGAAACGCTGGACTAAAGCAAGGTCATTGGTCAAGGCAGAGTTGATCTTGTTATGACTAGCACTGTAATAAAGCAGTATGTCATCAGCGAATCGATGCGTCTTTGTTTTGACTTTAGATCTGGTCCAGTACCATCGATATAAATAGGAAATAGAAGGGGGTCCAATATGCTGCCTTGCGGAATATCACAATTGATACGAAGTGGATTCGATTGTTCACCGCCAACCGCTGATATGATTTATCGATTAAGCAAACAAGTCGGTATGAACGAAAGAACGAAAAGAGAATATACTTTATGTTAAACGTTGATTTGTACAGCTATACTTTAGTGGGGATATTCATTTACTCTTTTTGTATCCAGGAACATTTCTACACTATGAATGCATACAAACCAACTTACAAGTTCGGTACACACATCCTTTTTCCTCCTCAATTTATACAGTAACCCCTTGTGCCAGACTGTGTCAAAGGCCTTCGCAAAGTCAAGGAAAACAACTTCAATATCTTTATCAGAAGTTCAGTCCGTAGAATGGACAAGTTCAACTAGTTGATGAACGGGTGAGGGATTCTTTCGAAAGCCAGACTGAAAGACTGATAGAAGTTTGCTCGTTGTCAAATGATCATACAATAAACAACTTTTTTGATGACCTTTGACAAAGCTGACAGCAAATTTGATTAGACGGTAATTATTGGGTATTCCTCTATCTCCATCTTTAAATGATGCTGTCATCATAAACTAAATGACAGTTAGCGTTTTGAAGAGCAGATGTTGATGACGTGTTGATTTTACGTATGTTATGCTGACGAAGTTTCCACTAGTATTTAATACTACTGTTAAGTTGATTATCTTTTGAAATGATCTTGTTTTGCCTTTCTAAATGCTTTGCCAAAGCGTTTTTGAGCTGTTTGATACCGTTGTCTACAAATCATTGAATTACTGTATTTATATTGTCTAGAAAGCTTACTTTTTAGTTTATACAAATCACGCAATTCGTTAGAAAACCACGATTGATCTCCATTCTATATTTGTATGCGTTTGTTCAGAATGGTGTTTTCGGCTACATGTAGAATAGATTGCACCAATAAATCGCACTTGGATCGAACATCAGAATTGTGAAACTTTACTGCACTGCTGTTGAGCACTTTCATTAGTAGATACCGATAATGATTCCAATCTACAGCTTTATAATTTCATGTTCGTCTCGAAAGCGGAAGTTTGGCAGGCATAGTGGTGTTAAGCAAGATAAATACTGGTGAATGATCGCATGTTTCACATATCAATGATAAAACCGTAACGTACCGAAGGAGTAGGCTGTCTTACTACTATTGATGTAGTCCAGCTCCGTCCACAAAAAAGTAAAACTTTTTACCTTCCAATATTGAAGGTTTTGTATCACACCACTTGTCACACTGAGCGTTAAGATCGCCCAACATTAGAAAACCAATAAAAGATCTCGTAGAAATCGCTTGGTTAGCACTGTCAGATAGAAACGATAAGTGTGAAAAACATTATTTCAAATTTTTTATTTTCAAACTGGAGAAGTCGGCTGGAGATCACATCATTTTGTGTATATAATAGACATCCGCCTGCTCTTATGTCTCTATCAAGCCTATAATTAGAATAATTTGAAATGCTTATTTCGTCATCATTTAGCGTTTGATCTAACTATAATTCAATTATTGCCTCTACCAAAGAATTTTCTTCAGAAATTAAAATTTGCAACTGATACATCTTCTTTAAAATCTTTTTGTGTTTCTGTGGAGTGGTCGGCGCCAGTAAATTACGTATTTTCAAAAGTACTATAGTGATGTGAGTGTTATCACTCTTTTTTGACATTTTAGTTGGCATCATACAGAAAAAGATAAAATCTCAGCCCGTCAGTCTTGAGAAGAAGAAGGGAAAGAAAGTGTGCAGATGACTTGTGAAAAGGAAAAAAAGATATGATAAATACATTTTCCGTGACTAACAAAATTGAACACATATACAGAAGAAAGATGTATATCAGGGTCATTCTGTACTGGAGTAAAGAAAGAAAGACCTAAAAGAAAAGTAATAGAAAAACACAGATACTATTTGATCTTAACTATATAAAAACGAATCTCATTTTAAAACTCTTGGTAGAAATCTTCAAATGTCCACCTTATTATTAAGTGATGTTATTGTTATTATTTCAATTTTCAGATTTTAAATTTTCTTTTTCAGATGGATTTTGTTGAGATGTTACAAAGCTGGCTGATAGGTCTTCTCCTCTAAATTCTGCATTATCTTGTCAATCCTCTCGTCATCGTGATTATCGTTGCCATTCTACTCAATCTTCTTTCTTGTGTCTTGTAGACAACAAAAATTTCTAGATGGATGAACGTCTTCATTTCTATCAAATTCCTTGGTCGCATTATTGCGATAAAGTTCGTTGGGCGCTCGACTTGAAGGATGTTCCCTACGAAGCGATCAACTATAATCTCTTAGGAAAAACGAAAGGTTTGGAACGAGCGCCCAAGACACTTCGCAAACTGATGCCAATGATCGAAGATCCAAACAGTAAAGACAACACTCCATTTCGATGTGATTCCACGCCTATTTTACTCTATTTGGACGCTCGATACCCTCAATCGTCAATGCCTCTCTTTCCATTGTCGCCACTCGAACGACGTCAAAGTGTCATTGACATGTGCCTTCGTCTCGATTCAGAATTAGGTCTTTACACTCGTCGTCTAGTCTACGTTCAATTGATCAAAGAAAAACCTAATGCATTATCGATTCTTCTTGGTGAAAAATTTTCGTGGGCCTACAATCCTGATGATGTTCGTTCTCGATTAATCAGTCCTATTCTCATTTGCTTTATGATCTCTCGCTTCCGACTTCATCGCATACGTGAAGAGCGCATACGAGAAAAAACCGAATGTATCCTTTTGGAAATTGGCGAGCATTTGCGTACAAACGATTACCTCATCGGTCAACAATTCACAGCGGCCGATCTAACGTTTTGTTCGCTTGTCAAATCGCTCAAGCGTGTACCCTTTTTTAGTGATGATCGTCGATTTCGAATTATTTTTGATTATCACGAACGAATTCGACAAAAATACGATCCGAAATATCCGAACATTGATCATTTCGTCGACAAATTGGCGGATAGACATCGCGTACAAGTGAAAAAGAAAGAAAAGAGTTTGACCACTCGCGTCAGAGCATTCATTCATCAAATTAATTTTGTTCAGCGATTCTTTTTTTGGATCATGACGATGGTTGTGAGCAGACTGTACGGATTGGCAAGTGATGAACAAGAGACAGTTGAGTTCAAGATGCCATCACCGGCACACGACGAGCAACAGCAACAAGAGGCGCTCAATGATCAACGAACAGCAAATGTAAAGTCGACATGGTCATTGGTTACATTTTTCTTCAAATACCTATGCCATTTCGTATTTAGTATTCCTGGCCAAGCTGAATATTTGAACGGAAAAACATAAGAGTAGCAATTATTTTCCACGCCAAAAATAATGAACGACATTTTGAAAAGAATTTTTCCTTCACAGCTGTTATGTTTGTTTGGCAAGCGAATACCCTTTTCATGATCTGTTATTATTCAGAAGAATATTATGTTCAAATGTGCACAACTATGCCGACAGTCTAATCGTTGGGGAATCGATTAAATCCTGATGATGTGGGAAACAAACCAAAAAATACCGATTTTGACCGGATCATTGAATAGTCGTCAATGTGATAGTTGCCTAGCTCTGCAAGGCGACAGTGATTTTGTTCAGCACCAGTTCTGGATCTTTTGTAGAAAAATAAACAATTGAAAGCCACTTGCGATGGAAGTAGAAATGGACTGAAGGCGGAGTATGACCTTTTATGAGTTTAAGTTTTTGATCACTTGCATCAACTTCAAAAACTTTCTTTGAAGCTTAAAAGATGCATAATTTTGTCTAGTTCTCCATTCATTTAGTTTGAACTATTTAGCATCAGAAAATGATGAATTATTTTTATATTTGAGTGTCCTAAAAATTTATCGACACTGTTCCAGTTTTTGCGACACTTCAGTGTTCTGAACGATGCGAGCAAACGAAGCGATGATATTTTGGGACCAACATAGAGTTAAGATAGAAATAAAATAAAATTCAGCCTAGAACAAAGTTCTCAAAGTTTCTATAAGAGATCTAAAACGACCTAAATGCGCGTGACGAAATTACATTTTTTAGCCTTTCTTTCTACAAACTTTGAAAAATGCTCTAAAACGAAACATATTCAGAAAAAAAGTCTAATATAAAAGTTGTAGAGCATAAAAGAAACTTTCGAATCATCTATTTACTTTCATTTAAAGATGTTTAAATGAGAAGGAACAAACGAAATGATTCCGTGACGGAACTACATGTCGTGACGGAATGACATCGTTTTTTTTCTTTCTTTTTCGGTGGATTTCATCGTTACATTTCTACCGATGAAAAGACTTCTATAAATTTGATTTGCACGGAGCCGTATGCAATCGAGTGCCCTTTATCAAATTAAGCGAAAAAGCAGCAAGAAAAATTTCTTTGGTTTTCCTAAAAGTGCTCCAAAAAAATTACCATTTCGATTTCGGCAAAAACTAGCAAAAACGTTTTTAGTGTGATTATTTTGGCAAAGTCAATAGTGCGTTTTGTAGAGAATTTAATTCTTTATCCACTGATATCCTTTCTGATTTTTTTAAAAAACTAAGTAAGTCAGAAAACTGAAGTAAAAAAACCTTCTAGGTTCTAAATTTGAATTCTAAATTTAAAAATTTGAGCTTCATTCGTTCTAAAGTTGGTAGTTGTAACCAGCGCAAAAAACTGCGTCTAGTAATTTGCTTTTAAGGCTGATTTGAGAGAAAAAATATCGTTCAACCCACCGCACCATAGGGTGACAGTTACACGTTTTAGCCGAAAAGCAGAAAACAGAAGCAGCCAGTTATTTATGGTTCATCCGTTAAGTTATTTACTGGAAAAGACGGTCAGCTCTCTATCATTAAGTCTTTTCAATTTATGAATAAAACATAGTACAAAATATATCCTTTTACTATTTTCATACATTTCTACGGAGGTTACGGAAGCCATAAAAAAATAATTAAATGCGTAGGACGTAGACTGTATTCTGCGGGTAGATAAATAGTTTAGTTTAGTTTTATTTGACAAAACGTCATGAATAGCACAAGTTGTAAACACAGCTAGTACAAAATATCTCAAAGAGAAGTCCTGCTGTGCACTCACATATATACTGAAATAGATCACAACAATGATAAACAAATACATAGAGTTAAAATGAGTTCGAACAATGGAGGAAACGTTCGCATATAGAACGCTAAAAATAACAAATACAAGAAAATCAACAGTTTAGCAGAGAGCGTAAACCAAATTGGAACAGGCACAAGTTTGGTGCAGTTGCTAGAGACTCAGTTAGTAGTGTATTCCAGTCAACCGCAGTCTTGAATGAATGAACAAATGTATTTGGACTAAAGATGTTACATAGTCAGGAAACAGTAAACAAGCAAAAAAAGAAAGTTTCGCTTCACTTACATAAGAGGCACTGTTGCCGATAGTGAGAGAGAAAAAATGAATCACAATGCAGTGAGAGAGAAAGAGAAAGAACAACAATAGTCTTTATGAGCCGGAAGAATAGCAATAGAAATGATTTTGGAATGTTTCTAACAAATGCATTTTGTAGAGCAAACATTTTTCTACAAAATGAGATGTTTCACGGCTCTGAGCGAATCGTGACAACTGATGTATAGCAATTCTCCCGGATATCTCAGCATACCTAAAAATATGGCATTCAAAATTCAGTGAGAAGTGTTTTAGAACTGAAATAATTTTGTTTATTTTATCTGAGGTTATATTTTTTCTTTCATTTTTTGGATGGTCTTTTGACTTTGCATTTTCAGTTGATCTAGAATTAGGAGAAAGTTGACTTCCGAAAGGTGTGAGAAGAAACCAACCCTTTTACAGTTAATTTATTAAATAACTTGATTTTACTACCTTCTGGTGTTACTATTGCTTGAAGTCATTTTAGTGTTTAAACAATAATTGATGTGAAAGGGTTGTATATTTACTTGCAACTTTAATTTTAGGGGTATATTAGTTAGACTCGATAAAAGAGTACTCAGAGGCTCTTGTAAGTTTTATAAAAAGAGAATAGGAAAGTATTACTGATATGTATTTTCTCTCCCTATCGTGTGAGTCAGATCTAGTGTGTACGTGTGTTTATCTCTAACGTTGTTGTACACTAGCAAGTTTTATTTTTAAAAGAACAGAAAATGATATCATGGGCTTTCTCTCTCTCTCTCTCTTTTTGTGCTGTTCTTATATCTATTTCACCGTAACAGTTTTTTTTCTGCCTTTTTCACTTAATAATAAAACTTATAATGAAGTAAAGAAGAAAATTACTCACTAAGTAACCTGTAACTTTTAAATCTAAGATTTTTTCTTTTAGATTTGCCGATGACATTTTAGGTCTTGTTGATCTTTTACTGATGCCTTAGAAAATGTTCAGTTAAGCGTTGATAAAATGAGTTTCTGATGTGGTCGAAATATTGTTAGACTAAAAACTAAAAACTACCAATAGATTAGTTTTTCAAACATGTGTTCCCAATACCACCATCCTTTTCTTTAAGAATCAGTAATGTCACTCTTGAAAATATTTGTTCGATCAAATGCCTATTATCACAAAATTGGACTTCGAATAAGTATTTAGATCATGTTTTCTTCTCTAAACATTAGTGTTTATTCAGTTCGCTGAGAAACTCAGAATTCATCAGCAATATTGTATATTTTACAAATAGACTAGTAGTGAATATATAGCTAGCTCATATTCGAAATCAGTGTCGAAAACTGAGTCGAATGGCATATGTTTCAGGAATTTTGAGTGTATGGGTCCAATTTTATGGTTTTTGCTACAGTTTTTTCAAAGTTAATTTCTCATCAACGAACTAAAATATTCTAAATCCTGTATATGTAATATTTTATTAGAACATAACAAATATGTCTTACAACCGGTTTTTTAGTTACTGACAAGCCAGAGCCTAAGAAACTTGAACTGGACCCCTACGATACATGCAGTTCTGGCGCTCGTATATGAACTTACTGCGGGTGTTTTCATTCATATAAATTTAAATAGCTGTGAATATAACTATTTGCACTAATTTTGTGATCCCGAGCAGTGTTCACCTATTACGGCAACTTTCATAGGTCACTTGTTCATTTGGTTGCTCGAACATGAGCTGTTCGAGAAGTTATGCTAGTGTTAACGTTCGATGATATTGACGTTGTAAAGATGAGTGAAGTGCGGTTGAATTAAAAGTATAGACAACAGTTATAGCTGACAGAAACTCATTCAAACATTTTAGAAACACTCAGAATTAGATTCTAGTATAACAGCTCGTATACAAGCCCGGCACAGCATATAATTGAATTGATACGTCTGATCCATCATATGTGCGTGATTTATAAACACATTTTGGTGTCAATAAACAGTTATAAGAGTTAAAATAACTTTTATTCTAATAACATATTTCAAAATTAGGATACGAAGTAATGTTTGGATTAGGTTGAAAATTTGTTTGTAAAGCTGATGCCAGAACGTTACTAACGATTATGTCAGATGGCAGACGTATTTCCTGTATGATTTCATAGGATCATACAAGATCACACAAGATCCCATTGTAGGATTTGATAGGATCTTACAAGATCCTATACCCTAGACAAAATTCTACACACGTCCTGTCTATTTCCCACTAGGATCCTAACATTTAGGATCCACCTAATAATTTCCTAACAGGATCCTAAAATGCTAGGATCCTCCTAGGATTTCGCGGAAGTTTGTTTAGGATCCTAACAAAATCTTAGAAAATTCTATGACTTTCAGATATACCCGATTTCATTAGGATTTTGTTAGGATTCTAATAAATTAAAGCGAAATCCTAGTAGGATATGTTTCGGATCCCGTCGATTTTACTAGGGTATGATACTAATATAGGATTCTTTCACTTGGACTAGGAGTGCATCGGTTATTTTTTCATATTTTTCAAAAAATTCACAATAAATGGTTTGTATTTTCGTAAAACGAGTTGCAACATTTTTTTAAAACAACAGGTTTGTAGAAAAAACATTTCTCTACAAGATGGTATGTAGCAGTTAATTTTAAAGTTTTTTGGTTAATTTTAAGGCGTTTTTGATTGACAGGCTTATCGGTCAAACACGTATACACGTTTACTTGTTAAATATACTATTTGAAGTATCTTTTCAAATATTTTCTTCGCTTGAACTATGCGAATATTTTACGGTTTTATAAAATAATAAGAATGCACCGTGGAAAAAACGCACACTAAGCTAAAAAATATTTTAGATACAATAATGCATATGCTTCGTTTTTCACATCAAATATTCATATCCAATCGACATCATCGATGACACCTGTTGCTCCTCCTGCTAATCGTTTTCGGTTCGCCGCTATTTTTAATGGTATTGCTTGTATTGATAATAATTGATCAGTATTAAGAAATGGCGTCATTTCCTTGATCTTTAGTGAACTATCGGTGTCGACACTTTTTCGAATTGACGATTGTTTCGCCGGCGGAGAATGAAGTGGTGATTGTGGAAGTGCTCTCGGTGACGATGTACGCATAGTGATTGATTTTGAGTATTTTCTACGTTTATCACCACTGTCATCGCTTAGACCTGACACTGATGATGTTTTTTGAGAATGATTTTTCGAAAACGATGAATGAGATAGAATCCGGTACATAACATAGTCAGGACAGCGAGACACATAGATATTATCCACAAGAGATAATTCGGATGACTGTGCTTTGGATAGATCATGGATGGTTTTGTTGCAGTGGATAACGATGATCTCTTTGACAGTCGTGGCAAATACGATGTTTCAAATGAAAAAAGAGTAAGCGTAGCTAAAGGAAACAGGTCTGTGCAAACTACTACTGCCTGTGGTTTGATTCACAATTCAAACCTGCCACCGTAAATAACACTGGTTCTGTCAGGTTACTATTTGGAAAAATTGATGTTTTAACCACTGCAGGCTTTGTGGACGTACTGTCTAAAAAAAAAGAGTTACTCATAAGTATGATCTTAATATCAGATGATACTGTTGTACCATTCCCGGTGGTCACTACTGACTTGGGAATAGTCGCTGTTTTTCGTAACAGATAATACGATAAAAGATCTATAATTCCAGTATATATGACGAGTAGAGAAGTAATGGAATATCGTCTATAATTGATTGGTTTTCTCTTTGAAGATGCTAACGATTGTGATTGCCCACTGACTCCTGATGAACACAGCCGATTATCGTTTTTCATCTCTTTTTTAAAAGTTGGTGCTCCTGCGACAGGTGTTAAACTCTGAGAGAAGCATGGTGATAGTAGTGGTGGTGGTGATGGATTCTTTTGCTCAAGCTGCGCCAACAATTGTGGTTCTAAGTTTTGAAGTCTTATCCAAAGAAATTGATCAATGCTTTGCCACATTGTTAGCGTTTTGTAATTATTTATAGATTTTAAGTTCTGGTACATCACATTTACTGTATCAAACTTTTCTGGGTTAAAGACAAAACCAAACTGTTCACCTAAAAGAAAAGTGGTCTTGCGGATATAATTCAAGCACGAAAAAAAGGCGCTGCATTCAGATTAAAAGGTACATTTACGTAGCTTCGGCTAGCTGCACTGAAATACATGAAACTGTCATCTAGCTTTAGCCAGATTGAATTTAGCTTCCACTGAGTACAATTAGTTGCTATCGATTAATCGGGCAATTCGTTGCTTCATTAATTGGGCAATGCAGCGGCCGTTTCAGCTAGAACACGATTTCAAGCAGCATGCAGCTAGATAGATGTACCTTTTAATCTAGTTAATCTAGCTGTAAGCGGGTATCGCAGCTATTTTTGCAGCTAGACTTTCTCGTTTACTTAGTTTTGCTTGGAAAAACTCTTCAATACTCAATTAGAATAAACTATGAGGGATATAAAATATTTATTTTAACATGATAATTCGCTTTCAGAGAGCATTTGCTCATGTTCTCAAAAAGTGATGTCGTTTTCCTATCATACCTACTCTACCTTCTAACCAATCCAGTATGTATTTTGCTTGCGATCTACCTTCGTTAATAATCTGTAATTTTAAAACATTTATTTGACTTTTGTCTAGTTTTTCCCACTCAGCATTTTCTTCTCGTACACGTCGTTCAATAAGTACAAATTTTCGTATATCTTCAAATAACTGTTTTACAAACTGAACAGTTTTCTGTTGATCTGCAGTTACTGCACGTTTGTTATGATGATGAATTGGTATTGATGTTATGGTAAACATAAAATTAGCTACAGCAAGAAGACCGAATGGATTTAGCATAATAAAATTAACTAATTAAATTCAAAATTAAAATTTTTTTGCCCCAAATTATTTTTATTAAGAAAAAATATGAAAGTTTTGAGCTTATGATTGAAAAAGATAAAAATTAATGATAACAAAAAGCGTACACGCGCGCTCTATGAGTATTAAAAACTCCAGTACAGATACAAACAATAACAAGCTGTTGACATGTTGAAGTACATGTAAATATCGCATAATTATCTGAAGAAACATAGTTTAAGGTAATAAAGTACATCACTATCAAAATGTCAAAAATAGTCTGTTGGTTATGAAACATGTGTATCTATGCTGTTTTTTGCTAGAATACGAATTAGCAGATGAAATATAAAATAGTTCTTTAAAAAATTTATTGTTGGATGTATCAGAATTAGTTCCTAGAGGCATTACTTGATTTTTAAAAGTCAATTTCAAATGTACTGATAAATTCGTATAGATATGGTAATTAACTTCTATTCTAACAGTCGCTCGTAGTATAACTACTAGCTTTCTGAAAAAATGAAACTTAATGTTGTAATTCTTGTTAAAGAAAATAGTAAAGACGTTTGAGGTTTCTCACAGCATACGGTTATCATAAAAAATTGAACTGAACGGATATAATAGAACAAGCACAAGAAATATAAAGAATTGTTATTAATATACTTGCATAAGAAAGCATTTGGCCGAAGAGTGTATAATGCATGTCTACCCAGATCTTTTATTCCATGTGGTATACACCCGTTTACGTTGAAATATGTCGAAATACGGCGGTCGTATACGTGTATGAGGACGCTGATATATAAACGATGAACTTGCGACACTCGTACATGATCGTTTGTGATAAATCAAATTTTTGAAAATTTTTTTCACGTAGTTTCTATGATCCCAAATAAGTTTAAATGTTTGCCCACATTTTTGATAACACAAACAGATGAAGTAAGTTCCTATCCAAGCTATAAGTTTAATCAAGATGCAATGAGACATTTTGAAACTGATAGTCAAACTATTCATAGAGTTGAGGGTGATTATGATATTTTGTCGAAGGAAATTGATCGTGATTATATTGAAACTATTGATAGATAAAAATTATGTATAATTTTGATTACTAATCAAAATCAGAATTCATACTAAAAAGAAAAATTCATAGAAAATTTTGAAAAGATTTCACAAGGAAAGAATATTTTCGATGATTTATGTCTCAAATATTCTATGCAAGTCTTATTTCTAAAAAAACAAAGAGTTTTATGAATTTTTCATCGATATTTCGAAACAATGTGAAAAAATTATTAAATCACATAACATCAGTAGGACACTAGCCAAAACAAATGGTTTACCTACTTCCAAAATTCATTTCTCTGTTAACGACATTGAAAATCAAATGAGATTAAAGGGTTTCCGTACTCGAAAATTAAAGAAAGTTGCTCATTTAACAATGATATTTGACATTAATAGACGAAGTTTTGGAAGGGGACGATATTTTACAACCTATTCCGATACCGCAAAATGAGAATAGGAAGAAAATACCAGTCACTCAGGAGTTTGAAGATTCAGACATGATATATCTAATACTCTTTTTTTGTATATTCTGAAACGATGGCGGCGAACAGCTACTGCTATATGATATAATCGCTAATGATCTAAATAAGAAATAGTATAAGATATAGTTTATTTTAGGAACTGATAGTGGTATGTTTCTTAAAGAATCACCCATTTTTGCGTTGAGCAAAGGAAGATGTCTTTCGGAGTGTCGAACTATGTAATGAAAATGGTGGCTCTGAGCAGATAGTGGACGAAAAAGCATATTCTGTTCGTTTATCCCTTTAGGACGTTTGCACGCAACTTAGGAAACTTCCAGAAATCGCATAACTTATTACACAGTAATAAAACTATACACATATTTCTGTGTCTTTATCGAATGACGTTTTATTGAGATCTCTTAGTCGAAGCTCTCAAGTTGTAGGACTTTTAATATATTTGAAAAAGAGTAGAAAATGATTTTTAAAAATCAAAAAGGAAAATAAAATGCTAAGAAGGTTAAGACCTCTACATCGTTCACTATTTCCTTTTCTATCGATCGGCATTGGAATAGAGTGCACACTGTTTTTGTTATTTGAATTATTTTAAATTTCTAAAAAGTTGTTTTTATCAAGTTCAATTTCGAATCTATAAAGTAAAATATCGATTGTGGCACTCAGAACCTTTCCCTTGTTAACTTGGTTAAGGTCAACCATTAAAAAATTTTCATCGCTGTGTTTGTCTAAAAATATTTTTGTCGTTTAAATGGGGGATAAATAGCTAGAAGTTTCAGAAATTCAAGTGCAAGGTTTGAAAAGAAACACTTAAAAAATAAAAGTGAAGAGCAACATTTTTATATTTCCTATTTTTGGTATCTAGCATTCTCAAATAGTAAAAGTAAAAGTGAAGTAAAGTTTAGTGAAGTTTAGTAACGTAAAAATTAAAATTAGTGAAGTCTTTCTCGTCTGATGCGAACACTTTCTTTGATGAGTTGTGTAGTTTTGTAATGTATATAGGACGTCGCAGATCAATGTACCTTGATACTTTACATAAAGCACGTTTGTGAAAAGATTTCGACATCAGCGATTGAGGTAGGTTGGGAATGGAACTGGAAAAGACCATATAAAAATTCTGAATGTGCGCACTAAAGTATGTAGTGATCGTGTCCATGTGAAACAGAGTCAAAGTCTCGGTTGAAAATGGATTCAATATATTAAGAAAATCGAATGTTCTTGGCGACTAGTCTGGAGTATGTATCTGCGTTACTTGTTTTCTCTCCCGCTAGACTGTAAGAAACCAGTTAAAGCAATTACTTACATCAAACGTTGAGCCACATTTTTTGTAGGTACCAAAAAGGTAAACTGGCAGCTGTCTTGTATTCGGTTCTCCAATTAACCAATCTAACTCAGTCCAATCTACTATAAGTTTCTTGAGTAGCGCAGGTTTTTTGTGTCTAAAGTCGTCAGTCTTGTAGCTTTTTGTCAAATTTTTGAGTTTATAGTACTAGTCATATAACGTCGAGAGATGAGAATTAGTTAGATCTAACTTTGAGTGTCTTTCAGAGCCGCGTTCATTCCCGATTTTTCGCTTTTGTCTTCGAGCGAACTTTTCAGTTTGATGAAGTTTTATAGCAGCCTTTCTATCTTTCGCGAATGGATGTTGTGTGCAATCATTATAAGTTTCTTCATTGACTGATTCGTAAAATATTAATTCGTCTGCTATCTCATAATTTTCGTCACTCAGTGTGTCGAGATATCTTTCAGTATGAGCAGGATGGTGATTCATTTTCCACTCAGCGAGTGCATTTGAAATATCGGCGCTCGCCTCGTCTCCTTTCGATTCTCTGCTTCGAAGACGGTCAAGTTTGCGTAATTGATTTTGTATTTTTCTCTGTCGTTTTCGGGCGGATTTTGAAATATGATGATGTTTTAAACTAACCCTCTTATCTGCTGAGTTAGCGCACTGGCTTACGGTTTTATCAGATTCTTCATTGTAGCCAAGGAAATGTTTCATGCCTTTAGAAATCCAATTCCAAATGTCGTTCATATCATCTAACTGATTCACACTAGTTTCCCACTGATTTGGCGGCAAGGTTGGATCAAGTAAACACATAAGGTCCATCAAGGAAGAATTTAGCGTCCTAGTAAATCGTCTATGTGAGGGAGCGTGATCAGACCTGCTCTTAGCCCCATTTTCGTCGAGTTCAATTTCTGGCTGATGTGGAGCGTCGTTGACATTCGCCTTGTAATAGTTGGTATCTTTTAACAGTCCTTGAACATAACCTGTGAGATTTCTTCCGTCAACTCCAAATTGTTTTAATGAAATTTCCGATTCGAAAAATTATATTTTTATGTTGTGCTGCAGTGAGATCATACGAAAGAATATTTTTAAGGTAGACAATTTTATTCATCTCTCGCTCAACAGACACATCAGTCCCATCGGCAAACGAGTGACGGAGCAGTTCATACACTGGTTTGAAAAAAATACACTCGATCCATAGATGATAAGCTGATTCAGGTTGATCACAAAATACACATTGTTTTTCCTGTTCCGTTCTACCACCTCGCGCCCGTAAGTGTAGTGCGTTGTTCACTAATTTCACCCAAATCTCATGTGCGTGTGTTAGCATTTTACTCGACAGTAGGAGTTTAGAAAAATGCATATTTTTGAGATGATTCATCCTCCGGTAGCACACTGGTAATCGAAAATGATACTTATAGATGAGCTGCCAATAAATGGATAAACCTGTTTCTGAGATGATGGATACGTTCCCATTCCATTAACTATTTCGCTGTTCTATCCGCTGCTTCATGAAATAGACTAGTTCCCTGCTGTATATGCGACACCAAGTTTGACCATAATGAACGATCAAAACACTGTAACTGAGTGGCCATGAATTGCAGAGCGTAAAATTCCACTTCGCTGGAGTATTAGACATTAGATGTAGATCACATTTGATTCTAAACCCTTCTACCATTGTTTTAATATCTAATAAGGCAAATCCTCCATCCACTTTTTTTCCAATTATAGTTTTAAAATTAATTGTGGGGTGTTTGCCTCGCCACACAAAAGCATTTGCGATATTTTGCAGTTCATTAATAGTGGTTGAGTGGACTGTGATGAGGGAAAAACGGTAGACGATACAACTAAGAGAAAAAACTTTCAATATTGTACTTCTCTCCAAATGAGAAAGGCTAACTTGCGACCACATCCCCAAGTTTTGTTTCAAAGACATTTTGAGTTTAACTAATTCAGAAGGTGGAAAATGGCCCCGTTTGGCGATCGGCACACCTAAGAAACGGCACCAGTCAAGTTTAACTTGTCCTTTGAATGCTGGTAGTGGTAGCCAGTCACTAATCCAAAAAACATTAGTCTTCTCAACATTTGTTTTTCCACCTGACGCCTTGTTGTAGAGACCAAACATTTTGATAGTCTCCGCCTCCTCATCTCTATTGAAAACAATAGTATCAATATCATCAGCATATGCTATTGCTTTTATTGTACTATCAATTCCGTCATAAGGGAAAGCCTTCCTTCGTACAGCTTCATACTGTGCCCTTGGTGGAATGATATCTGGGATTTTTGGATTATTTCTGATGTTATGTAATAGAGGCTCGAGGCATGCTATATATATAATACTAGATAACGAGCAACCTTGACGTACTCCAGACTCGAAATCGATGGGTTGTGTTATCGCATCATTTATTTTAATTCGAAAAGTGGCTCCGGTATACATTAGCCTTATCCAACGGATAAAATTGTGTCCAAATCCGAACGTCCGTAATACCTCGAAGAGGTAACGGTAATTGACCCTATCGAAAGCCTTCTCTTGATCCCATAAAATGATACCTAGTGGCTCACGATTTCTTGAGTAATACTCAATAATCGACCTGATTAAGTGCACATTGTCTTGTATCGTTCTACCGGGGATCGAGCAAGTTTGGTCAGGGTGAACTATTGTGCCTACCACTGCTCGTGGTCTGTTACTCATCACTTTCGAGAGTATTCTGTAATCGATATTCATCAATGATAGTGGCCGGAAACCCTTCATCGATCCTTCAATCGATCCTTCTTTTTTTAACAAAGTTAAAATGGTACGCAAAAAGGATGAGTGGAATCGTTGGTTTGCCCATGCAGCATTGATCATTTTCACATAATATTCGCCAGTGATGGGGAATATTACTCTCCACACGTCTACCGTAATCCCATCATCACCTGGACATCGACCTATCGTCATTTCCTTGAGAGCGTCATAGCATTCCACAACTGTGATTTCCTTTTCTAGTTTATCAATATTTTGACGACTGAGTGTCGGTAAACCGGAGAAGAAACTATTCCATACTCCACGATCGACTGGTTTTTCACTATACAGATCCGTATAGAAATCAGTGGCTACCGCAGCATCTCTGATGTTGACTCTACTTCTCCTTTCGTAGGATGTAACAAAAACGGAATACGAGTTTGGCTAGCTTTTGTGCTGGCCATAGTTATTTTTGCGATCAGGCTCAAATCTTTGACGTTCCTTTCATGTTTTCCAGGAGGTTTTGCGGGAGCATTTTTTTTCAAATTTTCCAGGATTTGGTTGTGTATGTTATTCATCAAGACCAAATCATCCGGTGATGGGTTGGTAGCTAAACCACGGTAACTTTTTTGTAAACTAAATAATTCGCGCCGGGACCCTTTCTCCATCTCATGAGTCTCATCTTGTAATAGCAGTGTTGGACTTGTCTTGAAATCTAACCACTATTCTTGGCAATCAAAATCCGCTGTTCTGAGAAACACACTCCAAATATCTTTGAAACGCTCTATAAATGACTTTCGAGTCACAACTGCAGAGTTGCATATCCAACGATGATATGCAGAGGCTGGAAAAGCTGCTCCACATGTTGACGTAAGAGGACAACAAT